TCGCCACCAGCAATTCTAGACTAAGCCAGAAACCGTCTGCAAGCCAAGCCGACCCTGCGCCAACCCTGACGGCCGTTTGGGTTGTTTCCAGTGCATCAGAAGTTTCCGTTGGCTTTGTTTGTGCTGCAGGATCTGTTTGTTCAACATACACACCATGATGCATGGCTTGCATGCCTGGGACGTGCTTCCAGCAGATACAGATCATGTTCTGTGTCAGGGGTTTGCGGGTTCGCTTGCTGCTATTCTCAGACCTTATTGCAACCTGTTGCGGCATTGTGGACTGCAAGCTTTGCTTCAGATGACGTGTAGCACAACACGAATCAGATGGTAATCGTAGACAACATCATCGATTTTGAAATATTCCGGGAACTTGTATATTCCCAGCAGGAACATGACAACATGGTGGTCCAACTTATTCCGAAGCCAGCTTTGTGCAATGAAGACACTACCCTTCAGATTAACCTGTTGAGTTGCAAGGTCCTTTGTGACTTTTCAAATACCGAGGTGCAACCTACATCATTGGCCTGCCCGCTTGGCTGTTTCGGATGTGGACACAGTTGGGTGAAAACAGTTGCGTTTTGGAAGCATGAGGTTCCTCCAGGTGTGCAACTACCAGAGGCCAGACTGTAGGAACATGGGGCTAGGATCGACTTGCGCCTCATGCAGGAAGCAGACTTGGGGCCGCTCTTGCCAAGTGGTCCTGTGGCGCACACTGCAGGATGCTCAGAAGCAGATGTTGCCATTTGGCGCCGCAACGCTCGACCTGTTGAGGTCCGGCTTGACACCACAGTCGGCACGCTTGACATCATTGTCAGACCAGATTGGGCATCGCGACCAAGTGCAATTCTAAGACTGTGCCAATGGTGTGTCAGATATTTAGGCCCCCTGTGGTGCTCGGCGCTTCCTTCAGCCCGGCACTCAGTGCATTTCTTTTTTGTGCAGATTCCCAAGAAGAGACAATTGCAAGGCTTGCATATTGCGGCGACCTGGATGGACTTGCATTTTACCGCGCTGTCAGAGGAACTCATGCTGAATCATGGTAGGCACAGTGGCAGTTATATTCCGCAAGGATGCTTGGCGCAATTCGGCCTTCCAGCCAAGAGGCCTTGGAGTCGAATTGGCAGCTAGTTGCTTAGAGCATCCGGCAAGGCAATGGCCTCCATTACCAGATGACGCGCAAACGGGCGTGCCTTTTCTTCTGGGAGCTGTATGCTTTGTGGAAAGCTCAGCTGAGCTTCTGGAAGGCTTGCCATACGAACCAAATTGATAGGCTGCAGCTGGCGAGAATTCGCGCAAGTCAACGCGACTTGGCGCAAGATTAA